GTTCACCAATGTTGATGTTGGTCTACTATCAGCTGTTTTTAACATTTCAAAAAACCTTTGATTTACATGGTTACCATCAGTAATTATTGCCAGTGTCTTATTATTTTCAATATTATTTATTGTATCAACAATTTGTTGACATTGAGCAAACAGAAATTCAGAGGAAAGATTTGCAACAGATTGAGCTCTACATATAAATTCTGGACTTCCAAAAAGACATTTAATCATAAATGATAAAATTATTTTGGTTAACTTTTCAGGGTAGTTTACTGCTTGACCAAACAAAGCACCTCTTTGGTAAAGTAATGAAGCTTTGACATGAACCTCATCAATTATAGTATGGAAGTTTTTTTCAATGGATCTAAATTCATAAAAATACTAATTAAAAAATTTAGGCCCTCCATCGAGCTTATTTTTGAAGTCAATTGTGTTAAGTTCTGTATACTTAGCAACTTGTAGTCAATACACAAACAATCATATAAACTTCGTCGCATAACAAAATACTCATATGCTCTACATATAATATCTGGAGTATATAAAACTTCACCAACATTAACTTTTCTCAAGCACTAAAGTGCTCAAATAGAATATTTGACTGATGCGAACTTTATTTATTTTTTAAAAATTTAACTGCTTCAAATAAAGCTGATTTTATTTTAATTAACTTTAATTTGTTTACAGTTAAGGATGAAATATTACAAGTTGTGCCATTATGGTAAGCTACAAATGAATAATCATTGAAAATTTCTAAAATAAATAATAGAACACCAAGTTTGTACATTTTTGATTGTATGTGTAAACTTTTTTTATTAAGTTGGAAAACAATAACATCGTTGTTATCACTTAATAAAGATTGAATATCATCAAATATAAGTTCATCCTTTTTTAGAAAATCATTTAACTCATCTGGTAAAATGTTTCAAAAACCGCTTGAAGTTACAGTTTTTCTAACTTTACTTGCTGATGTGGGTAAACAACTAGATGGAATATTTTTAAAAACAGATGGTGGGTTTAAAGGCTGTTGCTTCCCATATTTTCTTTCAAAAGGTGCATCATCTGGCCAATGCAGTCAACATACTGCTGTATAGTCTGAAACAGTAAAACTAGTTCTTGGGATAGCATCACTCCATCTTTTTCTCTCCTCTGAATTTTTCAGGAATTTGTAAATTGATATTTTTGTTTTAGTAGAGTGATAGTTTGACTTGCAAAGAGGTACTCAGCATTTTAAAGGCATTTTAATTATTAAAATATCTTATTGTTAGTTTAACCTTACAATGTTAACGTCTTGAACCTTACAACGTTAACATCTTGAAGTTGTGCTATCTAATTTATAAACCAATCAAATTTCAAAGATTTATTAAAAAAGCGCAAATGCAAACTTTCGTCTTTTTGTTAAAAGATGAAAATGTAAACACAGTATTAGAAATCGGCCTTCAGTTAAACAACTTTTTTACTCGATGTCAAGGCCTGTTATTATAGAAGGCCCTGTTTTAACTAGATTTATAAATGTTATATTTGGGTTTTCCCTATGCCGTTAACTTTTATATAGAAGAATTTCAATATTTTTTTATAAAACGAACCAAACTTTAAACCGATTAAAAACAACCTGATCAATGAATTAACTCTTTAAAAGCCCAACTTATATTTATTTTATTTAAAAAAAAAAACTAATACTAGTGCTATAAATATAAGATAAGTAAATTTCAAAATTTTACTGATATTTGTTAAAAACAAGTCCAGCTAATAACATTCAAAAATTTAAAAACCAAAATGCTGTTTTACTTTTTGGATTTAGTAAGAATTAGTAAAAATACATTAGGTTTCAAGGTACATAAAAATAAATTGTTTTAATGGAAATAAAAAAAAAAAAAACAGAAAAGCTGTAATCTTTGTTTGATTATAATTTTTATTTTACCAAAAGCCAGTTGCTAAAATGCTTTAGGTAGCACAAACATTTTTTAAAAAAGGGGAAAACCCAATCTAATTGTGTAGTTGTAAGTACATTGTAAGCAAAAAGTCATAAAAAATATATTGTCTGGAAGCAAACAATAGCACTTTGTTTATGTTTTTGTTCCAGAAATTACTCATTCTCATTCTTGCACAGTAAACAAAAACATCTCATAGCGAAAGTATGGATCTCTTTTTTTTCTTGTTACTTTTCATTAATATTTTTTTAATTTCCATTGAACTAATCATTACTAAAATTCATTCAAACGTAAGTCGACAGAAAATCTGTCGACTTATGAAAAGTGTCGACTTGAAGATGGTTATAGAGACATAGTTTGTCGACTTTGGGCTGACCTAGTCTTATATATATATATATATATATATATATATATATATATATATATATATATATATATATATATATATATATATATATATATATATATATATATATATATATATATATATATATATATATATATATATATATATATATATATATATATGAATATATATATATATATATATATATATATATATATATATATATATGTATATATATTTTAATGAGTTGATTACAATTTGCTTTATAATTATTTGTTCTTGCAAGCTTGGCATTGTTAAAAAAAAAAGATTTATTCAAAATACTAGGTCAGCCCAAAGTCGACAAACTATGTCTCTATAACCATCGTCAAGTCGACACTTTTCATAAGGCGACAGATTTTTTGTCGACTTTATGTTTGAATGAATTTTAGTAACGATTAGTTCAATGGAAATTAAAAAAAAAAGATACCATTGTAATGTCTAAATTATACTCAAGAGATTTCTATGAAAATCGTTAACAAAAAAAAACGCGGAAAACTATAAACAATAACTTTTTTTAAAAGCGCGTATATTTACTTGTGTTACATATCTGATCTATAGGTCGATAGTTAAGAGATTGCATTTTTTGTTTGAAATATAAAGATATATTTATTATAATTTTTGTTTAAAATATAGATAAACTATTTAGTTAAAATAATATACGACCAGTTTAAAAAAAAAATTAACATTTAGACATTATATAAGATGTTATTTTTCAACTATAAGTAGACTTATTCTACTCGTAAATCTTGCGTCATGTCAACAATAATAAATATATAAACTTGTATTTAATTATTTCTATGTTTTTACAAATTTTTTTAATATAAATATATGTAAAAATGACAAATAAACTTTAAAATATGCGTATAAAAGTCGACAAATTTTCTATTTCTTTTTAAAAAAGCGCTTAATTGATCACTTAAATTTTTTTACAATACAAACACTTAATCTACGCAATATCTGTTAGTGAAAAATGAATTAAAAAAGAAAATTTTTTATGTCGACTTTTGGTGTAAAAAATAATCGCTGTCGACTTTGATTAGACACAGGCTTAGTGCTATAATGCTCCATTACCAAAACGATTGCTGCATTTTGTTTCCTTTAATTTTAGTGTTCTTTCTGACATTCAGTAGTGAATTAAATTGCATAATGATTTTAATGCTTCCAGTTTTGTGTATTATTAGAAGAACCTTGAAATATATTCTTTCTCTAATTTTCAACCAATGCAATTTGTGAAGTCAATACAATATTTTAAGCCAATGCAATTTGTTTATAAGTATATAATATATATATTAATGTGTGTAATATGTAATTTACTTTGATATATAAAATATGTTCTAAATAGTAGTTATAAATAGGATAATATACATATATATGTATATATATATATATATATATATATATATATATATATATATATATATATATATATATATATATATATATATATATATATATATATATATATATATATATATATATATATATATATATATATTATCTTATTTATAACTACTTCAGCTATGTAAAATAGATTTTTAAAACTAAATAATCTTTTAGATTAGTTTTTATATAAATTATTTTTCTAATCTAAGAGATTAGAAAAATAATTTATATAAAAAATTTTCAAAAACTTTTTAAATTAAATCTCAAAACCAATCTTCAGTTCAAACTCTTAAAGAGAGTAATGTTAAATAAAGTTTTGTTTATCTTTCACCTTCAGCGGGTCGTTGTTACGAGTTTCAACATGAAACAGCAAAACAATAGAAACAGCCTTTATTTCCAGACTATTTATTCTTATGACTATGTTGTAAGTAAATTTTTTTAACCATAAACAAGTATCGCCTCTTTAAAAAAAATTAACTATAAAACGAATGTTTTAAAGAAAAAAAATTAAGTTTAAATAAGATGTGTAAGATTTTAAAATAAGGCAATTTTTTTAATAATCGACATTTAAATTTTATTTTTTATTTTTTTTACAACAATATTGTTTAATTTAAATTTCATTTCAAAGACTTACAACAATTTTTGATGTGGTTTTTAATTTAGTTACAATGAGGTATTTTAAAATATGCAACTGATGTTATTAAAATTTTAACGATGTAAGTATTAGAGGTGTACCGGATATTTTTGCCGGATATGCCGGATATTAAACTTTTCTAAAGTCCTATAAGTGTTTATGAAGAAAAAACAAGTCTTGCCATTCTACATTAAATAGTGTTCAAGATTTAAAAAAAAAAAATAAAAAAAAAAACTGGTATAACACAGGTATATGCGTTAATAATACAGGCGTATGCGTTAATAATGTATAAGGAAAAATCGTTTTTACAGCCAAATTTTTGTTTTTTCTAATTACTATTTTCTATACTTCGTCAGCACATATCCCATGTCATACAGTTTTTCTCTTGATTTTTTAAAGTAAAATCTTGAATACTATTTATTTTAGACTGGCAAGAAGATTTTTTTGCTTAATAAACACTTATAGGACTTTAGAAAAGTTCAATATCCGGCATATCTGGCAAAAATATCCGGTACACCTCTAGTAAATATCTTTATTGAATAAAGTTACTTTTATTTGCGTTGCGCTTTTCCGTTATGCAACAAAATCTCATAACAAGTATATATATATACATATAATTCTTATTTAATATGGTTTTAACCTGTTTAATTTTTATGATTAAAACTTTTAGGATACAGTGAAAAAGTTACTTGTATGCTGCAATGTATAATTGAATACAATGTTGCACATCCCAAAGAAACAAGTAATGAAATAAACAAGTTAAAGTTGTTTGAAGATTTTTATAACAAAGGTTTACCAAGGTATATTTACTACTCTTAGTAGAATGCAATATGAATGAAATGTGGTATTATTAAGTTTATATTTATTTTTATTTACATTAAGTTTCTTTGGAATGAATACTTTCTTTTATGTATTGTGTGTTTTTATTAAACATTTTATTAAACAGCTATATGTTTGCATGTATACTCATTTAAACTTTAGGTTGGGTGAATCTGGTGCTGTTCATTGGAATTTAGAGGAGTTGAAAAATAATGTTGCACCAATCAAGTTTAATGATTCATTGGAAGAGCTATCTTTTGAAATATCTCTTGAAAACTTAAAAAATTCAACTACATCAAAAGATAAAGTATGGTTACATCTTGAAAAGGTACGAAGTTTACTTGAGGTTTTGCCATTTAAAAATGATCTGGAATCATGCGAAGATCCAGAAAGAATTGTATTTTTTGAAGATGTCTCATTTACATTATTTACAGTTACTTCTAGCCAATTGAGTTTTCAGTTTATTCTAACTTATTTGTTTATTCTTGGTGTTACTATACCAACCTATATGCTTGATTTTCTTGAATGTTATCAAAGTTTTTTTTTAGTAAAAAAGTGTTCCCGTTCTTGTCTTTGTCATTCAAAGTCTTTTACTAATTTTGTATGCATTGATTCAATATTGTTTGATGGGCCTAAATTGGTTAAAAGTTCTGTATTGCTTGTTAGAGAAATTTTTTCTCAATGTATGGGACTTGTTTCAGAAAAATATGTTACAGACCTTTCACAAATTTGGCTTCACTTTGAAACAATGTTATTCTGTTTTGAGTTTGAAAATACAAATAAAGAACTTGATAAGAAATATTGGAAAGAAATTTTAAAGTTCATTAAAAATTTATTGAAGTTGCCTTCAAATCGTGGTTCTGTTATGCTTTGGAAAATGTATGCAACATTTGAATGGAATTTGGGTAATACTGTTGACTCAAATAATATATTTTTTACAGCTATTCAACTTACTGGTAAAGATAAAAAACATGGTATATATCACTGTGCAGCCATTACTAGGTAATTATATATATGAACTGTTGTCATACTTCTTTTTATTGTAAAATTATTTAAATTTATTCAAGTTATAATAAATTACTAGCTGTGTCACAGCTAGTTTAAAAAAAACAGTGAAGTTTGTTACAAATTTGTGAAGTCACAAATTGATGATTGAAAAACTTTTTTGAACTAACAAAACTGAAAATATTAAGACAGGACAGATTTTATCTACTTTGTATGGCAATGCTTGTTGTGATAAATTAAGTACTAAGTTAATTATTTTTAAAAATTTGGTTCAATGGTATAGGATTACATCTGGGCATGTCACTGATATAAAAATGTATATGTTTGTGTGTGTGTTTATGTTATTATTGTGTGTATTTATTTGTGTGTTTATATATATTTTTAAGCGAATGCTGAATAAATTAAAGTAAATTAAAACAGAGCTATATTTATATATGTTGTAAATAAAAACTACATGTTTTTAACAACTACAATTTTTCTAGTAAAAATATTATCACTAGAAAAATCTTCTTTTTAACTTTATATTTCAATTTGCACAAAACTTACAGTTATAAAAGATATGTAGTTTTTACTTATAAAAATATAAACCTTAACATTAACTAAATTTTAGTTAAATTTAGTTAATGTTAATTTACCTCCTCAAGGTCGAGAAGGCCGAAACAGTTGTGGAGGCTACTATAATTGTGGTGGCAACCCTCTCTCAACTTCGAAACACAAACCTTAACAAACAAGGGGGTTGTGTGGAGAAACAAGTTGAAGAACATAGCTGCATAGAGAAACAAGCTACCATAAATGTTAAAAAAGTTTTGGTTTCTATGGTAATCTTAATAGTATCTTTAAAGTTTTCAAACTTGACTGACTGATTATTTTCAGTGAATGTTTTTAAGCTTGCACATGCCCTCACACATGCAAGTATTTTTTCCTTTGTCTGAGCGTTTATTTGAACACTTACCAAAAAAATAAAAGCACTTTTTTAATCATAACAAAATTCTTTTCATTAAATATTTTATAGAAAACTACTATAATTTTTTAAACTTGTATTGTATTCAACATAAAATAATAACTTGTTGATGTGGTTGCAAACCAATCAGAAACTGTTGCTATCTTTTATTTATGAATACGCTATTTAGTTGTTACCTTTTCCAATACTGAGGATTTCAGCTTTATAAAAGTAAAATTACAAAATGGCTGCCTAAGAAAATAAAAAGAATAAGTTTAGAATAAATTAATTTTAATAAATAAAGTAATACAGTAAATTGAAATTAAATCAACATACTGAATTCCTTCTACCTTTATAATTTTGCAACCAAAAAAATATTTAAAATATCATTTATAGAATATAAATGATATTTTACCGTTATAATTTTGCAACTAAAAAATCTTTAAAATATCGTTTATAGAATATAAATGATATTTTTAAGATTTTTTTGGTTTCAAAATTATAAAGGTAGAAGTAATTGAGTATGTTGATTTAAGTTCAATGCGGTAGTGGTGTAGTGGTAGAGCGCTCGCTTCATAAACGAGTGGTTCCGAGTTCGATCCCCACCACGTCCCTGGTAGTACCGCGCTCAACTCGTTTCTCCGCGCAGCGGCCTTGTTCATCAAGGTTCGTGTTTCGGAGTTATAGAGTTGAGAGAGGGCTATAACCACAAATAAGTAGCCTCCTCGTCTGTAGTGGCCTTCTCAGCCTTGAAGAGGGGAATTAAATAAAAAATTAAAAAAAAAAAAAAAGTTTAATTTTCTGTATTCATTATTCTTTTATTTATTAAAATTAGTTTGTAATTAAATTACATGTTATTAACTTAAATTAATTTTGTTTAAATTATTGCACATTTTGTCTAATATAATGTCTAATATAGCTTCCATTATAGCGCTTTTTTGTGTGCTGACTGTGTGCTTTTAACTTTTCTTTTTTCAAATCTGTGAAAAAATGATTATTTTAATGTATTCTGAATTCTTCTATTTAATGGTTGTAGCTTATGTTTATATGTGCTGAGATAAAAGTGTAATCCCATTTTTTTTGTAATAGTCAAGTACAGGTGTGTCATTATAAAATGATATAGTTGTCGATTAAAACTAGACAAAGATGGTCGATTAAAGCTTAATCTGGCTGGTTATTTGAGCAGGGTGTATGGGTGTTTTTTTTTACAAATAAAAAAATATTTTCCCATTTTATAACTTTGTTGTTAATTTAATAAAAAAATTCTAAGCAAGCAAGCAACATAATTTTTAGTTAATTATTTTAATGGATCAAAACTAAAGTTAATGGGAAAATAAGCCATTCATTAAGAATGAATAAGCCTATTATTCATTAATTAAGCCAAAATAAGCCTATTATTCATTAATAATGAATAAATTTTCACAATTCTTTTGAAGTTTGAATGGTGGGGCTTCTATGCAAAATTTTAAAATCTTTTAATTTTATCAATTTTTAATATTATTATAAAAAAAGTCCATAAAATAAGTTTGATTTTACATCAAAACTCAATTGTCATCATTTTTATTGTAACGAGTTGTCTTTTTGCAATTAAAATTATAAGTTGCTTTAAGTTTAATGAAAAAAAAAAATTAAAAAGAATATTACTCTTTCTTTCCCATTTTTCATTAATTCATAAGTTTAAAAATTGCATTAAACCCTTCGCTAAAGTTTGTACTCATGTGCACGACATTTTATAAAGTTTATGTTAAATGGCTTTTTAATGTACCTAAACTTTATTTTATTTTTCTTTAAAAATTTAATCATTTAAAAGAGAAAAAGTAAAACAAAAAAAACTATGTTGTTGTCTCTGACCCTCTGGCTTGTGATCAGCTTCTCCTAGTTCTCGTAGTTCTCCTTTGTGTGATTCCGACCATGTAATGATCTTTATAAATCTTTGATCTGATACTTTGATCTGATGCTAAGCCCTATTATTCTCAGTTGACTCATTCTTGTATCGAGTTCCAAAAGTTAGGCTTTAGAAAAATCTTTAACATTAATAAAGGTAAGTCTAACATTCCATCTTTAATTCACGGAACTGATCTTATGAGCTCTCCTAAAGATATTGGGAACTATTTGAAAAGTATTTTTTTCCTAATATGACTTTTGAATCTTATGCCTATACTCTTTATACTCTTGTCTTGACAAAAAGTAATAATATTCAATTGCTTAGAACAGGCAGTCGATCTCGAATCTAATTTCACTTCTGTAACAGATTATGACTTGCAGTGGCTTGTGAATTTTAACTCTAACAAAATTCGCAAATAACTCCAACAAAATTCGCAAAAATCGCAACACTGTCAACGTTCCTATATTAATGAATGGCAACCCTCTCTCATAAAAATAGTCATCTTCTTTATGTCTTCTTGGATTATTGTTCAATACTGACCTCTCATGGAAACCATATATACAATCAGTTGCAAAGTTAACATCTGCTAAGATTGCATCTCTTTATTGTGCTCACCATTATCTTACTTCTGATTCAATTCTCTACCTCTACAAATCTCTTCTTTGTCCATGTATGGAATACTGTTATCATATTTGGGTTGGTTCTTCTAATGATGCTCTTTCTCTTTTAAACAAGGTCTAAAAACACATTGTAATTGGACCTATTTTATCTGCAGAGCTTGAGATCCTCACCCATCGTTATAATGTTGTAATGTAAACATCTCTTTCTCTTTTCTACTAATACTATCTTAATTGCTGCTCAAAGGAGCTACCACCTCTAGTTCCATCAACCAAAACTCGTTCTCTCTTGACTTGTCATTCAGCAAAGGCATATCCTTTTTAATGTTTCTTTCCCTGCATTCTCTAAAAACTTTAATTCCTCTTGCTTTTTCCTGCACTTCAACCCTTTATAACTCTGTGGTAGAAAACAGCTTGTGTTATACATATATAAACAGCTTATATATATATAAACAGCTTGTGTTAAGAATTATCCCTTTTTTTGTGTGTGACTGCTTACTCACTGCTTACTCACTGTGACTGCTTTAGCAGTCACACTGATACCAAAAAAAGTATGGTTGCTTTAACTATTTGATTTTTTCCAGTAATTCTTCATCTAAAGTTATGATAAAACACGAAACAGCAATGCTTTTGAATAGCTTAAATATTTAAACAAAGCATATAGCCTAAATTGCACAGAAATTTTCTTCCATTCCCTAAAGTTCCCTTGGATAAAACTAAAAGATTTTAATAATTTCCCAAGTTAATTTACCATATCTATGTATTCATATTTCTAAATGGTTTTCTTCAGAATTCTAGTTAGCATTAAACCTCAAATTGAAGAGACTTTTTAGCATAAACTTGTAGCAATTTATATAAAAGTCAAAAGTTAAAAAACGCTACAGAATTTTGATCAACAATAAGTGAAAGATTTTTAGGTCTGTATTTTACTCAGCATTACTTTTTTATTTTTCAAATTATTTATAACCATTTATAACATTATCTTGTAAATATATTTAGAAATCTTGCTGAACTTCTTGTGGACATCAATAAACATGAAGAATTGCACCATAAAAAACAAGATATACAAAAGCTATTTGTGGCCTTTGTTGAACCAAATCAGCGATTAACAGAAAATTCTGAAGTCAGTTGTGTGATGCTGCTGAAAGTATATTCTATATTAAAAGAAAAGTTAAATGATATTATTATTGAAGTTAATCGTTCTCAGTTGGTGAGCACTTCATTCTCTATGATTCAAGATTTTTTGTGTTGCTTTATCTTATTTGAATATTTGTATAATGGACCAAACATATTGCAAAAGCGTTTTGGTGAATTTATTATTTTTCCTCCTGATATGGTTAAGCGATTACCTGATGTGTTTATGTATATTTTGGTCTTGTTTAACAATTTTTGTCAATCGACACATCGCCATTTTTCTGAATACAAAAATATGATTTCAGATTGTATGCAGTATTATGGTAGTCATCCCATCTTTAATGATTTATTTATATCAGCATATCGTCATGGATTTAACAGTTTACATGCTCGCAGACATTATGAAAAGATCATTAAGGAAAACCCGCATGATATCAACGTGTGGATAAATGCTGTAAAATATGAAGAATCTAGACTTGCTTTTATTAACTGCAAAAATCACAGCGAGGTGAGTAATTGGGTATTTTAATTTTGATTTCATTAAATTTTATTAACTTTTATTTATATTTAAGCCTATTTGTATTTTAATAAGGTTGAATTTCTCGATCCGAGTTGTGGAATACAAAATCGTATACGATCTTTGTATGGGAGAATGGTTCAGGAAGAAACTATAATGCACTGTGCAGATGTTTGGATTCGTTTTATCCAATTCCAACTGGAGCATGGAACTCTGAAACAAGCCAAAGATGTTTTTTATTTGTCCCTACGACTTTGTCCTTGTGTCAAGGTATGCATTATTATTTTTATAATTATGAAATATATGCATATTTAGGATTTTATAGAAAAAATATGACCCAAAGCAAGTATTTATGTTGAGGCCTTGTAATTTTAAAAAAAGTTTATGCAAATCTATAAAAAAATTTTTATTGATATCTTTAAAGTATCAGTCATTTTAAAATTTGAACTTTAAAATTTATTGTTATAACATGAATTTATTAAAGATGAATTTATTAAAGATTAATTTTGTTGCTGTATTTTATATACTGTTGTAGCGCAACAGTTTTATAATGTATTATAGTATTAACTTGATAATATATACTTAACTAAATTTTAAATGCTTCAGTCGTTACATGAACAGCTATTCATTATCGGTTTGGATATCACAGCTGTTTCACGCAATGTAAAATTAAGCATTACCATAAAATGAGGTGACTTTGGCTAAATTTAAATTCTTTTTTTTTCAGAATTTAATTATGAATGATTGATGTGTTTATATAAATTGTATTAGATGTGCATGATGTCAAAAAAATAAATAATTAAAACAAAAGAATTATATCCTTGACCCTTTTATTTTTATTTTTATGGCGAGTCAATTTCACCCCTATAGTGGTGGTGACTTTGGAAATCTGAAAGCAAACTATAATTATTGATTAATTGTTTTATATTTTACATAATCACAGATAGTAAGTGACTGGCTAGGGCTCGGTTTGTGACCGGGGCTGCATAAGCATTTAAACATCCTAAAGTATACTTTTTTATGCAAAATTCATGTTATATTTTGTATATATATGCATATATAAACATCTTTATCAACATGATCATCATAATCATCATTATTATCATCATCATGATGATTATCATCATGACCATTATCATCATGATTATGATCATCATCATCAACAGCATAAAAGAGGGAGGCTAAAGCTTGATGATGATGATTATGATCATCATGATCATGATAAACATTATTATCGTCATCATCATCATCATCAGGCTTTAGCCTTTCTCTTTTATGCTGTTTCTCTAATTTAAACTATATAGAGCTTTTTTTTTCTTAACTAAAGCTCATTCATACAATAAGTAAGGCACTCTCTTCAAGTTTCCTTACTTCTACCACTACCATTTTCTACTTAAGCTGCTATCTCTCTACATGCTGATACCTAAATTACTTTAATCTTTTCTAACAAAGGTTGTTCGATACAACGCTTTTTCTAATCTGTTTAAGATTATGCCTCCTTTTCTTGTCTTGCTAGAGGCACACCACACATCCATCTGATCATCTTCTCTTTTGGCAAATACTACACCATGTAAATACTAAAGTTTATATAACAATGAAAGGATATTGTATGTCAAATTAAATTCTGGGCTTAAAATCCACAATTTTTGTTAGACAACAAAACTCATTTATTTACTGCAAAAAAATATTGCAATATTGTTAGCATTACTATATTGATGAATAACAACCCTCTTACTCTCAGACAAAGTCTAAAAGCACATTGTAAATGTAATAAGACCTGCTTTATCTGCCAAGCTTGAGCCACTCTCCCATTGTTGTAAAGTTGGGTTTTTTTTTTTTTCTTCAACAAATACAATTATGGTCAAATAAGCTATCATCTCTATAACGATAAACCAAAACTTATTTTTGCTTAACTTTTCATTGAACAAGCTGCATCCATTTACTGTATCTGTCCCTTCTATAAAAACTTTTATTAATCCTTGAACATCAAAAAAACCATCTAACTCTTACCCATCTTCACTTTTTATACAACTTACAATTTTCTAAGTCTTCAGCGTTTCCTAGTATTAATTTATTTTCTATTTTAAAGTAACTCATAACTTCATAGTGGTTGTTTGCAATCTTATTTGAAGAAAGTTAGAGTTTAAAAAAATATAAATGTATGCCAGTTATGATAAATAGTAAATGTAAGTTATGATAAATAGTAAATGTAAGCATAAAATTATAATATCTTAAGTATTATAAATTTTTTTCTAGCCCCGGCTATCAGTTTCTGCTAAATCTTATAATTTAGCTAGGGCCGGGTTTGCAATAAATGTCCCATTTTTAGCCAGGGCCAGGACCCCATTCACTTACTATTACTACAGATACACGGATATTAAGTAATATGTTTTTAAGGCAAAAAGATATAAAAAAAAACAGCTTGAAACTAACAAGTTTATTTAAGATATAAATCACAAAAAAGTTAATATCTAAAGCACAAAAAATCTATGTATCAATCATCAAACTAACAGTGTTAGAGTTAGTCAATAGATTATCTGTAATTATTTGGTGTTCAAGAGTGGATAACTTGGTTTTTTTAAAAACAGTCATTTTTTTCTGTCTTATTTATATTTATAGCTGCTTGCATATTAACTACATCAGTTGATGATAGACTTTTTCCTTTTGACAATGGAGACAATATGTTGCTTTTTATTAGGGAGTATATGATCATCACCCTTAGCTTCTACTAAATTTTGTATGAAAGTATCACTGACAAGAGAACCTATTTCGACAGTGACAACTTCATCTGTAAATGTTCTTTTAGAAAGTTTATCTAGCACCTGTTTTTGATCAAGTGGGTATAGTCAAGTTTTTCTGAAGCCTGCCTTCATACTTTCACAACCAGGTTCTTCAATTTTTTTCATGAGACATTTAAGCATTGCTGGAATCTGATCTTTTGGAAGGGAAGGAGCTTTATGTCCTTTGCCACTTTCCTTCCAAGTTTTTAATATTTTTCTCCCTAAGCTTCATTGGTCAAAAATATGCAATATCCAATGGCTGCATTAAATGCTTGGAGTAAGGAGGAAGTGCAATAAACTTAATGTTGTTTTCTTCACTCAAAGACAGTACATATGTATTTGTATGTGACGACAAATAGTCTCCAATTAAAACATGTTTTCCAAAAGTTTTTTTTAATTCAGGCAACAATAAAAATTTAAACCAATCTGTAAAACTACTGGAGTCAAACCATCCACTCTTTGAGTGGTTATAACGTGCTCCTTATATATTTTGATCCTCGCTTTTTATTACTAGTTTTTTACCAGAGTTATTGGTTAAATTAGTTTCATCGTAATTCAAAATGTTTGATGGAGGTACCCTTGCCAGTTCAGGAGTGATATTATCTAAAAGGTTGTTAATAATAATAGTACCTACTTCTGCCCTCTTTCTTTTAATGTTACTTGCAAATTTAACACTAGTTAAATTTGAAAGTAACATAGTTTGCAAAAATATTTCTTCAATTTCATTAAATATTGTGCGACCCCCTGGTTTTTTATTATGTATATGTTTCAATTTATTCTTTATTGTTGATATAGGAATTTTAAAGATTAAGCAAGCATCTATTTGTGTTAAATTACTACTTCTTTTAAACATTTGGTTAATGTTTCCTGGATGAGTGGAATATAATCACGACTTCCAGCAACACGTTTATATGTTCTTAGCATGTTTTCTTTGATAGAAATATGATTTTTTGTTTTTAGTATTTTATTCTAAAAACAAAAATTGAAAATTAAATCAATAATATTATATCTATAGACAACATTTTCTAAAAAATAAATCAAAAATATAACATTGAAAATCAATTAGCTATATTTTTCACATTTTACATAAAGTTATTTTTAATTAAAATTGTTAATAATTTGGCAACTATTATACAATACTCATCCTTTACAAATTTACTATTAGTTATAACATCACAATCCACTAAAATATTAACAGCAGTTTCAACCAACTCACAATTTTGTAACATAAATTTAACAATTTTTATAGACTCATTATAGACAAACAAAACAAAATTATATCAATAGTTCCGCAAACCCCAATCAATCTAAGTAATACAGAATAACAGTAAAAGTAATTTCGTGATAAACTTAAATTTGGAAGAGGTCGCAGAAGAAAAAAGTAATTTTTAAAAGTTATAACTGTTTTTTATAAATTAACCTAAGTCACCTCATTTTACGGTACGTCACGAACTTAAAAAAAAATTCGCAAAAAAAGTATAAAAATGCACTAACTTTAAAACCATGGTATATTTTTTTATAAACGCTCTTATTTTCTTGTTAATAAATGTTTATATTAAACAGAATAAAAATTATTGTTATTAAAATATGCTAGTGGTTTGGGATCACTTTTTTATTTTTCACGATTTTTACGGAAAACTTGGGTTGGGCCAACTGAGATTTAATAACAAAGCTACCTGCTTGTTAGTTGAAATCCAGAACACTTATCAATTAATGTCTGTTTACGCGAGTTACGTGACGTAACTTTAAATGCGTTACAAAATCACACTCTAGTTTTATTTTTGTGTAATAAAGTAATAAAGCATATCAGCTTTGTGAAATTCTCTTGGTAAACTTTCAATAATTTATAAATATATCTTTAACATTGATAAATGTATTTAATTTCCATTTAACCCCTCCTTTTTTGAAAATAAAAAAATATTGTTTATAAGAAATTTTTATTGGTGTTTATATTCTTTTTACAGAACAAAGTTATCTGCAATACTTCAAAAGTTATAAAAGTTTTAGTAACACCCCTTAAGTAAATAATTTGAAAAAATTACAAGTTGCCGTATTTTTACTTTGAAACAGCCGTGATATTAGTATCCGCCAAGAATTATCGCTTGAAATGTGTTATAATTGGTAAGAAAAGTTTAAAAAAACATGCGGAAATGAACTTAAAAATATGTGGAATAGACTTATGACCCGTATAATACGGTCATGGTAAGTTTATTCCATACCGACCATTTCTATACTTATTCTTTATATAGTAGTTTTATTTCAAAAACTTTTATTATTAGTAGTAGAAAATAAAAATCTTTAAAGTCTTTGTTTTGAGTTAACGAATAATATTCAATACTTTATAACTTCTTATTGTAAAATTGCAAACTTCATTAAAATAAACGGGGGTGGGCTTAATTTTTTTCTTATTAACTTTTCATAAAGTTATTAATAGAAACTTAATAAAGAAAAAATTTAATAATACGATGCACTATTTTCACAGAGAGTAAGCAATGCAATGTTTGCGTATACGACCGGGGCTGGAATTTGACTGTGGCCAAGGCCAGTTCTACCGATGGGACTGCATAAACATTGGTGCATATTGACTTGTTTTTATATATCATATCAGTATACACCAATATTTATACAGCCCTAGCCATAAACCCGGTTTTGGCCCAGGTCAAATACCAGCCCCGGTCGTTTACTAATATGTATATGTATTGTATGCATTTTAAAATATAAAGGGTCGTCCAAAAATTACGTCACACAATTTATGAGAGTTGTGGAACACTACCCCTTATCGAATGCTTCCTCCTTTATTGTGTAACGTGATTTATGGACAACCCCTAAGTTATTAATAACAACATCTAAAAATTATTAATAATTTTTTTTTATACGCCATTAGTATTGTTTAGATGTTATACTTATTTGCTTGCGAAAGACTGGATGAATTTAATCAGCTGTTAGAGTTGATGACTGAGAAAGAAATACGTGTTAAAGTTATAATGGAGGAGCTTGATGTTCTGCTAGAAGATTAAGTATTGACAAACAAAATCATTGCTTTTGTTTTTCATAAATTTGATAATTTTAAATATATCAAGAAAAATCAAGTGATACAAAAAAATTCACAAGTTATTTTTGTGGTTTTTGATAATAACAAAATTGAAATATTTGAAAATAATAAAGGCGAAATTTATAAAAGTAATAAAAATGATGTTTGAAAAAAGTAAGGGTATTTTAAAAATATTTGCGAAACAAACTTCAAAAGGTCAAAAGTTTGAAAAAAAGATACATAAAAATTTAAACTTAAAAATTAAAAAATACATAAAAACTTCAAATCTTGTTTAAAAATTTAAATAATGAAATGATGTAACACTTGTGATTATCACGAGTGAAATAAAAATTATAAATATATTATAATAACTTATAAAAAAAAAAAAGTTTTTAACTAAAAATTATTTATTTCAATAAGATTACTGTAAATTTTATAATGATGGTTTAAGTTACCACGATGCTACAAAAATAAATAAGTTACACGTGACGAAATACGGTGTTTTAATACTATGACTTTCGCTGCTGCTACACGCTCATGCTGAGTAGAAAGAAAACGAACGCTATAAATAGAATTTTGCACTGTGGATTCGAACAGCTAAGAATTGAGTTATAAATCTTTATATATACTTAATTTATTTATGTAATATTAATATGTTTAAAATATTAATTAACCCGATGGACATAAATTTTTCGCTACTGAAAATACGAAACTTTGACGTAGTAAAAAAAAAAGATGGTTTCTTATTCTGACATTGAAGAACATTTATCGAAAACGCGAATTGAAGTTTTTATTATATATGATAAACGAAGGTGGCAAGTTAAAGCTGGTATCAAAAAAATATGGTGTCCTATATCAAATGAAAAAATACTTTTTTGGATGGTAAAAATGACAATGATGCCTTTTAAAAAACACGAGCGTCAATTATATTTTAAATCTGGAACATCTCCTACAAAGACACTTAAAGTTGATAATGTTATAGCCTACGTTCTTCCTCAAATGTCGATACGCTACCGCTTATATTGTAAAATCGGTGTGTTTGGCCGTTTTAAGTTTGTTGGCGAAACAGAAGTAGGTCTAGGTAATATATTTAAAAACAACGTTTTAGTTATTCGAGAATGGAAATATTTGAATGGACAAAAAAGTTTAGAACACGAAACATTGGTATAAACTAAAAAATAGTTGGTAATTTTGTAAATTTAATCATATTAAAAAACAAGTTAAAGCATATTATTATGGTGTTATAACACGTGGTTGCGCATGTGACTTATCGGGCAAAATTGTTTTTCGAGTAGCTTTCTAAAATTTCAACGACTTGCGATAAGTGATTAAGCACTGGTTTCACGGCGATCTATACTGAAGGCCTTGCCATCGCGCAAACAGCTTAGTTGACTGGGGGCCTATTTTATTTTAACGGCAAAAACAAAACAAAAAAGTGTTCAGTAATTTTATATTAACTCAATGAACTTTTTACTCTCAAACTGTTTCATTTTATAACAAACAAACTAAAATTCAAACAAAATATTTCTTAACTTTTTTCTCAAATTCAAAAATAAAAAAACTCTAATTCAAAAACAAAAACCATATATATTTATATATATATATATATATATATATATATATATATATATATATATATATATATATATATATATATATATATATATATATATATATATATATATATATATATATATATATATATATATATATTCCTAAAGATCCAGTAGTAGTGTAGTAGCGAAACTCAGAGTTGAAGAAAAAAGATAGATAAATATTTTTAATAATTAATTATTGCTCTGTTCTCTATATATATATATCTATATATATATATATATATATATATATATATATATATATATATATATATATATATATATATATATATATATATATATATATATATATATATGTATATATGTATATATATATATAAATATATATATATATATATATATATATATATATATATATATATATATATATATATATATATATATATATATATATATATATATATATACTTACACACTTAAATAATCATATACATAAAATTACAATTAAAAATTTGTGATAAGAATACAATAATATTTTAAGAATTTATGACAATTTTAATATTTTTTGAGCTGGTTCTTTTTTTGAACGTTTACATAGATTGTTTAAAAAAATGTTTGAAAGAATATTTCCATGATGTCGATGCATCTCAAAGTTGTAAAACTCTGATATCATCATTAGAATATTGCTCAATGAAACTCTGCATACTTTATCTTTAATCGTATTAAAAATTATAAAAGAAAAAATTACCCATTGACAGGTATTATCTGTGGGAATATTAAGTCCACCACGATCAATTGAGTCTATGTATTGTCCAAACTTTTGGTGGTAGAAAGTTGTTTTTTCTAGCAGCTCATTTTCTGATAGTTTATTATCTTTACGAGTTAAATATCCTGAAATGTATATAAGTGCCATATTTGTATCAGAAGAAATAAAAGATTCAAGATTTGGCAGGTTGTCAAATATCTCAGCAGAGGACTCATCCAAATAAAAACCACAATTTGGTCAAGAATGGGTTGTATCAAGACATATGTCAACAGCTGGGTTATTAAGAGATAGTAAAAGCTTGGCTCTTGAAATATTCAGTTTTTCAATTACCTGCTGTACTGTTATAAAATATGTACCTCCGGAACCTTGTCGCAATTTGCTAAACTCTTTTTCCAATGGATCAGTAGAAAACTCACTAAGAATAACATATTGGTGTGAGCTATTCAATAATGAACGACATAATTCAACAACACCATTGCACGTATGGTAAATTGATTGTGCAGTGTCACAAGTAAGTTGTTTCTTCCTTTTACCTTGATTTCCAGCCATCTTTAAAGCCATATTTTCGAAATCTAAAATATTTTCTAATCTATTATCATTAGGATCTCTAATAACTGCTTGAAGTTCATCATTAAACCTAACATCTGCACCTGTTCCTTTAACATTAAGAACTTTCCACCATGATACGACAATGTTAATAAAATCTGCCGTGTCTTGTCTTTCTTTTATATGCTGCAGTCCTGGATGATTAATCAAAGCATGGTAAGTTTTGTCACAAAATATCCTTAAACAGGTACACACTGACTGCCTCTCGATTGGCTTTGGAAATATTGAAACTTCGTTTAAATTAGACAATTTAACTAAGTTTTTAGATTCAAGTTCATAAAGTTTTTTCAGGTGATCCCATTGTGCTACTTTTTGTACCCCTTTATCATAAAATATAAGTTGACCAGTTTTTTCAGTAAGCCAATTATTTCTAATGTTTTTAAGCAAATGTACATAATCAAAGATTAAGAAAACACCATCATTAGTCAACCAAGGTTTACTTGGAAATGTGAATTCGAAGATTTAAAAAAAAGCCAGATTAATTCTATTTCCATCACATATTATGGCTTTGACTTGACCCGATGATTCCTTTATTGATTGGATAGTAATGCTAATTTGTTCGAAAAGAAATTGAGAGTTTAATTTACTTATAGGTATCATTTTGGAAATGAACGATGGTCCACCGAATAAACAATTAACCATTAAACCCAATACAGTTTTTGCAAGAGAAGTTGAATCATCCATTGCTTTTCCAATGTACCACCATGATATAACAACATTTTTTTAACATAAACCTCGTCATGCAATAACAAACAAATTTTCTGTTTTTCTTCAATAGATTGAAAAATATTAGTGAAAAAAAGTTTTTCGTTTAATTTAGAAACTTTTGAAGTTATTCTTGTCAAAGTTCTTACAGAAGGCAATTGGTAATCTGTTCACAATTGATTATACAAACTTCTGGATGTAGCAAAATACTGAAAAGATCTAATAATAATTTCTTTAGAATAAATCTTATTTCCAACACACTGTGTACCCATAGAAGCTAAATGTTCTTAATTACAATTTCTTTTCTTCCAGGAATCAAACTCTTTAAATAACGTAGGACTTCTTCTAATATTGACCATGCATTAATTTTTGAAACTCTGTTTTTAGAAATTGTAGGAATTTTATTTTTGACTCCATAGTGATAAGTTTCAAAATGTAAATCGTCTCTAATCTTGATTAAAAAATATGGAACCCCATTTGAATAAGCTTGTGATTGCAAATGAATAATGCTATTAATCATAAAACATACTGATGGAACACCCAAATCTCTTTCATTACTTAAAAGAACTTCTTTCATTTCAGCAAAAGTTACTCTATCTTTTTCTAAAAAGGCTGATAATTCATCTTGAGCAAAATTTCGAATACATGAAGTCTTCATGTATTCAAAATTCATTGAAGAGGCACTATTTGTTGAACGTAATGGAGGAGGTTGAGTGGGAATTTGACAAGACGGTATGCCTGGCCAAACAGATGGTGGAAATTTAGGACAAAATTTTCCTCTAACTTGTTGTTTTTCAAAATTTATTGGCCAATGCAACTCACAAACTACAGTGTCATTAGTTACCTTAAGATTTGCATTTGGAATTACTTTAATCCACATTTGTTTTTCATCTTCATTTTTAGGAAATCGATATACTGAGATCTTTAACTTATCAGATTTCTTTTTAGCCGATAAATAATTTGTGGTACAGCCATAAATACAACACTTTTTACCCATATTTCAATATCACTAAAATGGCGATTATAGTTAAGTACAGTTTAAAATAGGCCCCCAGTGAAATACGTTTTTTGCGCGTTGGCAAGGCCTGCAGTATAGATCGCCGTGACTGGTTTTCATAGTGTTTCATTAAACAAGTAGCTATTCGTTAAACTTCGGTACCGAAGTTTAACAAATAATACTATTCGTTTAGCGATGTTTAGGGTGGTAGTACAGAAATTAGAAAAAAAATTGTATTCAACTTTTACAAATATATTTTTTTTCCCTTAAATTGTAAAATATACCATTGAAAGCTGATCAAAAAAAATTAGTTATTATTTATTAATCTTTAAAGGTCAAAAAATAGGGTAAAGGGCGACGAAGTTTTTTTAGAAACCGTTCATAATTTATGATTGAATTTTTGGCTGGTGATATATTATATGTGACATATGCTGGTGATATATTATGTGACATTGTGTCGTGGACAAAAGATTTAAGTTAGGTCCAAAACTTGATAAAATATTAGCATTTTTGTAAATTTGGGCAAAAATAGGGTAATTTAAGGGCACAAAAACTTAAAAAAAATACTAAACAAGTGAAGTAGTAAAGTTTTCTCCAGTGTATGTTGTAAATACTAATACAATAAATAAGTGGGCCAAATTTCAAATCAATTTGATAATTAGTTTTGAATATACCTCAATGCAAGTAAAAAAAAAAAAAAAAGAAACTAAGTTTAAAAAGCTTCACTTTTTTACATTACACCAACTAATGTTTTATTTTGATCAAAAAAACTATTTTGTATTTCTAATAACATTTTTTTTTCTCTATTTTGTTTTATGGTTACATTGCTTTTCTACTTCCAAGACATGTTCGGTGTCCTTACATAAGTTACAATTTTGCCCATTATTACTTAATGTCATTCGAAACTCATTCAAAAAGTTATTTTAAAAATGTTGTCCATCAAAGAGTTTTGAGCAGCTGATTCTACTTCAATACTACTAGAGTAGTTTTTTTAACATGTATACAGTTTAGACATCTCGTATAATTTGATTTAGCTCTGTTTTTTTCCATATAAACATTTTTCAGAAGAATTGACTTAAGTGTTGGTTTGATTGTTTCTCTTTTAATCTGATAATATGAATAGGTAATCGGTAAAATGCGAACTGCGAACCGCGAACTGCGAACCGGTAAAATGCGAACCAAAACATTACATTTTAATGACCGCAATATAATATATTAAAGTTATATAAAACGTTTGCTATTCAATTCTTTCTTTTATTAAATAATATAATGGAATTAGATTTATTTAAATCTTTACCCGCTGAATTCGCTGTTCGGTACAAACCAAAAGCTGGTACTAATTACATTATCTCGTGGACTAATGACAAGGATAAAGGTAAGATATGTGAATATATATATATATATATATATATATATATATATATATATATATATATATATATATATATATATATATATATATATAATTTATACAATTTATTCACATTTTAAAAGAATTAAGGATCGTTTGAAGATTAAATTGTTTTTAAATTAAAAACCAAGGAAAATTATTCACAATAACATAAAATATTATTTAGAAAATTGGCGTGCAGATGGTTAC